ACATTAAACTTCAGTCACACATGATCTGTATTTTTAGACCACCGGAGCCGTGAAAGCTAGCAGTGCGTGGTCTTTTCGATTAACTGACGTTGACAGCTACCACTACTGCGGCATTTCGGTATTCCGTGTACAGGCCGCACCCGGTTGCAACGAAAATCATGAATTTGAAATTTCCACCACTGATTACGGGTCACAATCACCATCTCGGTTAGCCACTACGCGTTGAAAAGCTTCAAGATCTTTAAGGTGGTGTAGCATCAGTTCAACGCCTTAGGCAGCGACTTGGAACTATAAACTAGGAATGGTAAAATACATTACCGAGAAAACGAGTAGTTGATGAAGTAATGCCTAAATTTTCGCTAGACCAAGAGGAGAATGGAAGTCTAGATTCCTCAAAAGTAATGGACTAGTGCAACTTATTGAGTTGATAATTGATTTTTCTGCAGCCGCATCACTTACGGCAATGTTTGTTTGAATGGACTGAGTTACGTCAAGGCGCGCCCTACTCGTGCCATGCAGCGCCTCACGTTGCGCCGTCGTCTGTCTTACAACACGAATTCCAATAAACGGAAAAAGTAAGGCTGCCTGGTTCCGTTTTACGTAGCTTTGTTGTGTTTTCCTTGTGGTAAAGTTGTTAATGGGTTAAGAATGATGTTCTGTATTAATAACCTGGCGTAAGGTCAGGTCGTGCTAAGGTCAATTTTTGTCTTTTACGAAGAGATCCAATGCTCTTCTGCTTCAGCGTTTGAGGCCATTAAGGACAGGCAACAGATACAGGTGAGAAGGCTCATCATGGTCAGGTTTTGGGTTTTGATTCACCACTTCAAATGACTGATGAATGTTGCGGGCTTCCAGCTGACATGGGTCCATTTTGATCCATATGCTGACGTTAGCAGAGAAAACGAGTGGTAAAAGCCGGGTTGTTTTTAGGGGCGTTCAACCGGAACGTCAGTTGTGCCACAGCCGTTTTCGCCGCTTAATTTACCCGCCCATAAGCATTTATAGCCACCGGAACCGGTTAAATGACTGACTGCATCACCGAAACAGAGTAATTTGCGAAACGTTTAGTTCATGCACCGCAGGATATTCTCGTCTAGGAGAAGTTTAGCTTGCCCCCGTGTTGGTAGTCTGCGAAAGTGTTAGCGAGATACTGGCATCCGGCGCTCCAGTGTATCCTCTGAAGGTGGAGGTCCAACGGGGCGGACGGCATGCCTCACGCTGGTGCCACGGATGTCAACTTTCGGGGGTAGATCATCTGACTACAAGACCTAAGCCCAGATCATCGACACTTTTACGGTTCACGGTGAGTTGTGTGGTCCCACTTATTCATTGTTACACTTCACGGTTGTACAGCAGTGAAGCATCAGTGTTGAACACTGATGTCATGCTGTCGATGATGATGATGTCACGTTAAACCGCGTGGAAGAACTGCATTTGGATAGTGAAGCATCGTGTTGAACACTGATGTCATGCTGTCGATGATGATGATGTCACGTTAAACCGCGTGGAAGAACTGCATTTGGATAGCATAAACCGAAGAGTTCAGTGTTGCCCTAGGGTTTCAGAAGAAGATCGAAAAATTAATGGCAGTTTGTCTTAGGTTGTCGGCTTGAAATTATCCACCAAGGGTAAGTTGGTGCCAGCTGCTACAGATGCGATCACATGAGAATTGGAGCGCAGGGGTGTGACCAAGCATTGGACGCAGTGGTATACTCAACTTATCTGGGATACTGGTACGCGCACTGAAAGCGAGAGCTTTAATGCACGAACGCCACTGAATGCGTGTTTGGCCATTTCTGCCCGTTTCATTAACCACTGTTAGGCTGAGTCCAGGGTACCCATCCAAGGAGGCAGTAGTTGTCACGATTGGTTAGTGTCTGCATACTTTGTTGATAAGTCATAGACTGTCCGTCACTCCGTCGCTTCCATTCTGCACAGGGCTGAGCGAAAAGAAGCTCTGCAAGTTAGACAGTACTTAGCAACACGGAGCACGTTCTAACCAGCGTAACTAATGGGACGTGGGTAGTCCATCGCGGGAGAGTTCCGGTACTTCGAAACCATTTACTGTACCTAAGCATAGCTAATATGATATTCCCACTGAACCCGACGGATGCTTCAAAGACTTTGATGGTCTTACACGCGTCCACGTTCCTGATGCACAAAGGGGTATGGATCACTACTGCCTTGTAAAACCTGAGGAGCAGTGGTGTCATGCCGGCGCCATAGGCATCGCTTTTAGCAGACGTTAACCATCTCAATTCGAGGAAG